GGGTGGGCTAAGGTCTCAGGCTCCGGGCTTTTTGAGATTCATGGTTCAGAGGGAACTCAGAGACTACAGAGACAGTACCGAGAACTTCACTGCTCTCAAGGACCCGTGCAATGTATCTCAGACAAGAGGCTTCTCTTTAAGGCCAGTTTTCAAGTATCACAGATATAACAACCACCTTAGTGTATGCAGAGTAATGGGATGCAGTTCAGGCCACCTGCACTTCCCTGGGTGCAGCCAGAATACTCAGCCTGGCCTCTGCACACCAAACTCCCTCCACACAGGCAGCCACACTGCTGCCTTCTTGGATGGTTTTTTTGTCTTAATGAAAAAGAGAGGAAGCTGAGTTCTTCACAAGGCCATGCAAACTGGAGACAGGCTTTCAAACAGTGAGGGTGGGCCTGGGGCAGCCTCCCCTTCCCTCTGAACATTCCCTGAAGGCCGACTGGTATGCCCCACCAAGCAAGTGGTCGTTTTAGACCCGTGGAGGTCCCATAACACCAAAGGGGCAGCTCTGCTCTACTTAGCAGTAAGTTGTAACGAGGCGAGTGTCATTTACTGACACTGTAGGTCATAGAAAGACACTGACCTGAGCCTACCCCTGTAGAGTATGTTTTACCTTATTGACTCATTTCAGCCTCATGACAACTCTGTGCAGCAGCTATGACATTATCCTCTTTCTGAGGAGGAAACTGAGGCCCCATCGCTGGTAGGTGGCACTGTTGGGCATCGACTGGCTCCTGCGGGGATGGTCACCCACGCCCACAAGTGACCCATGGTCATGGTGTCCCCAGAGAGCTTACCGCTTTCCACAAGCTCAATGGGCTCTGTTTCCAAGGCCATCTCAGGTGTGGTGGCTGCTTCCCGAGCTCGCTTCTGGGCTTGTCTAGAATTTACTGCCCCTCCACGACGCTTTCTCTGAAGGCATGGGGGGGGGGAACAGTCACGTGAGCTCCTAACTGACAGGATTTCAGCAAGACAAAAAAATCAACAGAAAGGAAGAAAAAGCAGGAGACAGGGAGCATATCTGAGGTTGGGGTCCTTTCAAAACATGCAATTCTAGAGACTGAATGTTTAGGGAGATATCACCCAGAACACAGAGCCAGTTCATTTTCTATAAAACTCGTTCGATCAAACTATCACTCCATCAAAAGCACATGACATACACTCAACCAAAGCCCCTGGTCCAGACCAGGATCTGGCCGGAACCCCTTCTTATTTGTGTTACTGACTTCGGT